TGTGGGGGAAGGTTTAGGTTTAGGTGTGGGGTGGGGTTAGGATTAGGTGTGGGGGAAGGTTTAGGGCTAGATGTGGGGGTTGGGTTAGGATTAGGCAATCAGATAGCGATTTCAACGAGAGGGGTAATAATTTGGCAGGGGGTCTAAAATGGGCACACCTGTGGTGGGGGGAGGAGGGTTATTAAAAACATTAAGTGAGTGATGTTACATTACAAAATCACATTTTACCATCTGGTTATGTAAACTAGTTGTACAGAAAAAGTAATGTTGTTGCCCTATGTTTTTTGTATGTGTACGCGCAGGCGCGTCTATGTCTGTTTTGTCATTGCGCATTATAAGCAGTGGCGCTCCCACATGGGATTGAAATGCCCCCCAGTTATGCCATTCTGGCACCAGGCCTCTATAAAACGGTTATTAAATATTGAAAATATTTGAGTTTTTTTCTTTAATTAAAAAGTAGTTTTCAAGGTCTGCGCACAAGGACGATAACAGTAACCATAAAGTTTTAATAATCGATCTCGTTCACACCAAGAACGATTTTCCGCGTATTATAAGCTTCTGCTGCAGTTATGTCGCCTGCAACTTTAAATGCTCGAGCTTTTTGTGAACTCGAGTCCAGTTGTGATTGGCTGACAATGTTTTTTTTATCGTTTATCAGGTGGGGAAAAACATGTGGGCTGTGTCCGAAATCGCCCCCTATACCCTCATTCACTATTCCCTACATTAGGTCACTAATTCAGTTCACTAGAAGGAGTGAATGAAAACGAGTAGTGAATTCGGACACTGACCACAATGATAATCTGTTTTATAATCAAAAATCACAATCAATTACAAGAAGAAAAGAAAATGAACTTAAAATGAAAGTATGCTTTATTTCCTTACATATGACTCCAGGCCTTTTTTTTTACGTGTTGATACTCAGCATTCATGTGCATGAAAAATCAGCCACAGATTTTTAGTGTTGAGGTTTTGTAGAAGTAATGAGAAAGTTCAGTCATTTGCGATTCACTATACTAATGTGTTATAAAGCAATTTTGGTTTTCAAAAAAAACAAAAACAATGAAATCAGTAACATCAGAAATGCAATTTGCATGTTACAAGCAGGGTTTCAGTGTTTGTTATGACACAGCGTTCCATCAAAAAGTGCCCTATTTAAGGGTATGGGGGCGATTTCGGACACAGCCGTGATGAAAGTGATTGCAACTCTGTCGTTATTGTTATAGCTGTGTGAACGCTCCTATTCTCATTTACTTAAAATGACTATTAAAACGTTCATCTTTTCATCCTCTGTGTGAACAGGCTTCGCTGGGGAATTCCACACCACAATGATAATCTGTTTTATAATCAAAAATCACAATCAATTACAAGAAGAAAAGAAAATGAACTTAAAATGAAAGTATGCTTTATTTCCTTACATATGACTCCAGGCCTTTTTTTTTACGTGTTGATACTCAGCATTCATGTGCATGAAAAATCAGCCACAGATTTTTAGTGTTGAGGTTTTGTAGAAGTAATGAGAAAGTTCAGTCATTTGCGATTCACTATACTAATGTGTTATAAAGCAATTTTGGTTTTCAAAAAAAACAAAAACAATGAAATCAGTAACATCAGAAATGCAATTTGCATGTTACAAGCAGGGTTTCAGTGTTTGTTATGACACAGCTGCACTGTAATATACATATATACAATGTAAGCACTCATTCTCTTTCTCTTTCACACACAGCACTTTTCTTTACATTCAATTTCACAATTGTTCAGCTTCCTGTTTTAGTGTGACTGAGCGATACTGGAGAAGTACTCCAACATGTCTTGAATGGTGAACTCCATGGTGATTCCTGACCCCGGGTAGCAGCGGTTTATCAGGCCCTCAAAGTGCTTGTATTGCCGAATGAACTCGTCTTGCATGGAGTGCCACACGACCTAGTGGCCAGATCAAAATTCACATTCACACTCAAGAATCTCAAAAACATTATAAATGCCATTTAGTGTTATTTTCCTCTAGTTTTATTCACCTGTAACAGATTCTCCTCTTCACATAGGTGTTTATCCACCTTCTTGTAGAGGTTGTCCAGGCCCTTTTTCACCTCCTTCCCAGGGTATTCTTTAATAACCTTACGCAGTTCCTGTTTATTGAAGGCAAGTTGGTAGCTCACTTCCTCTTCACGGACACCCTGAGCTACACGTGCTTCCACTCCCTCAAAGAAATGCTGCAAATTGGGAAGAAAATTACAAATGGTCCATAAACATAAAGGCTGAAGAATCCAAATACATTAATAGTCCAAGCGCATTTTAGTTTCATTTCTAAAATTGTAATTTACATGGATGTTCTACTGTAATACTGTTCAAACCTGGTTTCCATGAAGATTTGGCTTACATTAAGTTTCTCTAGCGGTTGGCCCAGTGAGTTGATGACGTAGGACTGCAGGTGATCTGTGTATTTCTGCTTGGCTTCCTTTCTCTCTGCCTCCAGACAGGAGATCTTGAGGCTGGACAGTGTTGAGAAGATATGGTGGAAGTTCTCCATCATCACCACATCACGTGGAGTCTTCTGGCTCTCGCTGGCCACTTTCTCCACTATGGATACGCAAACAGAAAGAGACCAATCAGATGAACAAGAGAGTTAAAAACAAAAGAGAAAGCAGAATCGCAAACACTGAAAATGTACACAAATGATGAGTTACATTCTCTATTAATGGATGGTTCTCAACAGTGTTGTAATTGAAATAAAGCTGAAATAAAATATAAATAATTAGATAAAAAAAACTTAATTTTTTTTAGAAATGTTGCCATAGTAAAATGTATAATAACTATAACTGAAATAAAAATATGTGACCTTGGACCACAAAACCAGTCATAAGGGTCAATTTTTCAATCAAATTTGAAAGCTGAATAAATAAGCTTTCCATTGATGTATGTTTGTTAGTATCAGACAATATCTCTAACCATTAGGGAAGTCGTGGCCTAATGGTTAGAGAGTCGGACTCATAACCCAAAGGTTGTGAGTTCGAGTCTCTGGTCCGGCAGGGATTGTAGGTGGGGGGAGTGAATGTACAGCACTCTCTCCCACCTTCAATACCACGACTGAGGTGCCCTTGAGCAAGGCACCGAACCCCAACTGCTCCCCGGGCGCCGCAGCATAAATGGCTGCCCACTGCTCCGGGTGTGTGTTCACGGTTTGTGTGTGTTCACTGCTGTGTGTGTGCACTTTGGATGGGTAAATGCAGAGCACTAATTCCGAGTATGGGTCACCATACTTGGCCGAGACTGGTTTTGTGGTCCAGGGTCACATATATTAAAACTATATAGAAATATTCATACAAAAACTAATAAAAATGACAAAAGCACAACAAAACTAAAATGCTAAATAGTATTAAATGATATGTGTAGAAGTATAAAAATAATACTAAAATAACCCTCTCTCAATGCCTCGATTACACATGCTCTCATGTTTTCTTTCTCTTCATATTTAAAAAAAAAAAGTCTGAAAAGCAGCATTTCAAGAAATTTAGGGCTTCTTGCACATTCTTACAACTAGTGATGAATTAACAAATGTATGAGATGTCCCGTTGGTTATGATCCTCACCGTTACCGAAGACAGCTCTGATGAGTTTGATGTAGGCCTTATCCAGATCACCCCGTCTTTCTGCATTTCGGAAAATAGCCTCAGCTAGCTTAGCAAACTCCTCAAAGCCGGTGACAAACGGCAGGATGCCCACTTTACTCTTCTTCGAAATCTTCACCTCCTCCATCTGACGAATCTGTCCAGACTAAAACAGCAACAAACACATCAGAAGATTTAAATACTGGTCTTGCCATTGATACATCAAACAATGCTTGACATGAGCTCCACTTACAATGCATTTATCAAAGTTTCTCTTGACAGTGACTAGCACATTGCCCAGCGTTGTGCTGAGATAGGATGCAGGATCAACATTTTGGGCCGTCCAGACGTGGTGACTCATCTTTACCAGCATGTAGAGAGAGTTGAAGCTGTCTATCTTATCAACTAAAGCTATCAGACTGTTCAGCTCTGTCTCAATGCTCTGAAAGATCTTATTCATCATCATCCGAACCATGTCCTTTCTGCAAGAGAAATGGATGTATGATCATTTTTTATGATCTGCTTAAAAACAGATTTGTAAGAACTAAGAGAACGGTCACTCACTCAGATATTGAATGTCTGTGTTCACTGGGGGGTCTGGAGTGAACCATTCCATCGCTGTCATCCACATTCTCTCCCTAATGAGGGATTTATAACATCATTAAATCACACAAATACAATACACACACAGATCTGATCCATACTGTATCTGATACTCACCTGAGCTAGTGTAGGATTTTGCTGCAGCTTGAAGAATTTGCTGATAAAGTCCTGTTCAGCCAGACACAACGGCTCTAGCTCACTCAAAACCTGCTCAAAAATCTAGAAAAC